CAAGTCTGTGGACCCACACTGGGAGGCTTGCTCTTAGATGCAGTGTAGACATATCCTGTGAAACTGAACGTTAATGCTATTAGACTCCAGAAAAGATACAGCAAATCTGCAAACAGAGACTTAGAAATGTTGGAGTAACCTAGGGAGGAGGCAAAGCATTTCCAGTAATGGATGGTGGACCTGTCCTAAGATGCAAGTATACTGGAGCTTAATTGCTTCACAAAATAGCTTTAATAATATAAGGATGAAATTACCATTCGGCCTGCAGTCTCATACAGTACCTCAGAGCATGCCTTTAGGGGTATATTCATAGACCAATAAAAAAAAACCCTTGTATCTTAATGCTATAATAAAAGTGGCAGCTTATGTGTTCAGAGTGCAAGCTGAAAACACCATAAACTGTGAGAATGTAGCGTAGCTGGAGTAGTTTATGAGTGCCAGCAGATATTTAAACCTTGCAAATGACTTCAGCTTGGTACTATATTCCCTCCGGGGCTTGCTAACACACTTTCTACAGTTCTCTGGCAATGGCTCTCCAAATACAATACTTTCCTGTCTGATGCTATACATTCCCCTCTATATCAACAAAAAACAACCCCATTTTTCAAAATTGTGTTGAAATATAATCTTAACCCTGGCTGCAATGGATGTTGTGTTGGGAAAATAAGATGTTGGGAAGAAAGGTGGATTACGGATTTGAATGTACACGACTCAGAAAGGATGGGCCTGATCCTGCTTCCAAAGAAAATTCCCAGACATTTCAATGGCATCAGGCGTGGGTCTTAAGGCAATTCAGATCTAGCGTTGAAATTCAGTCCAGATTCTCTGTTCTCCCCAAGCTCTGCTCGGCATGCGCAGGGAGGGCAGGGTTAGTAGTAAAGGAAGATTTGAGCCACCTTTGTACTTCCCCAGTTCTGGGCTCAGCCCCCAGTATAAATTAGAGTAGCCTTACTTTATGCTTGGCTGGCTATGGCCAGAATGGACTGTTATGACAGCTGAGAATAGTCAGAACACAGCAATGTCCCTGCTCCCCACCCAAGCACCCTACACTGCGGGTGGCAGAGCGCTATCACTCCACCTTTGTGCCACAGGCAGATTCTCTTGTTAGGAGGGAATTCCTCAATAGTCAGATCAACAAGTTTTATAACCCCATAGTGCCACAGGAGAGGATCACGTGGTCTATAATGTAACAGACAATCAGGCTCTGTATCTCTCCCTGCTGTACTGGGACATTGGTGGAGAATTCTATAATGGCATTTTTTATGTACCATCTAATCAGCAATAACCATATACAAGAGGCTGACTTTCCTGATTCTAGCTTATCTTGGTTTTGTGGTTTTAAGATAGAATTTTAGCTGTATTTTATTATTTAATCATTTGTGATTTAGACTAGTAGTGGCCAAGCATTTGGAGAGATTGTGTACCGGTTTACCAGAGTAAGACTTTAACTGTAACAGCCAGTGGTCAATTTGCCCAACTGCCCAGGCAGCCAGCTACCTTTCTCCTCTTCTTCTGCAGCCAGTGGCCTTCTTGCCCCACTTCCCTCCCAGTCAGTGACCTTTGCTCCTACTTCCCTTAATAATGAATCTGGGGCCACCCCTTGTGCTGAGCCCTTGTGCGCCAATAGTGTCTGCCTCCCATTCAGCTGTCTGCATTCTCATCTGCAGTGGAGTTTGAGCACTGTAAGTCCCAAAGCGGCAAGATCATCTGAGACCAGGATCTTCATATATCTGTTTTAAAAACAAATGCTTCAATGCTATTTTTCCTAAATCCCTTGTAAATAATTTACTGCTCATGAACACACGATAACACACTAGTGTACATGGGATGACGGGAACATTACTCTTTCATTATTAAGGCAATGGACTGTATGGGAACAGGAGACAGGGTTAAGAAAACTGATTAGCTTTTCCTTCTAATCTCTCAGTATTGTATCAGTCTCTTCCAGCCGGGGTCTAGTATACTTTACTACGATGGGTGTTGAACTTGGCTGATCCTGTCCATGCCAGCATTTTCAACATTGGTTTGGAAGGAACAGCAAATGTTTGCTGCACTGCAGTGTCCACAGAACTCGATAGCAAAAGCAGCTGCCCGGCAACAGAAAGGGGGAAATGTGGCCACACAGCTGGATGGATATCCAGGTATCTGTATATAAGGAATGAAGAGAGGTCCTTGCTTTGCCTTTTAGCTGTGACCCTCGTCACTGGGTTATGCTGTCCCCCCACGCTCTCTTGTGTGCTGTTCAAAAGCCTCAGCTTGGCCCTTTTATTGACTTCTTTTATGCTTCACATTTCCTTCCAAATATGTGTGCCTATGCTTGTGGAGGTTGTTGTTGAGTGTTGCCACTTACAGTGTCATTTGTAACTGTTTCATCCTCCTTCTCCCTCTCTATAGGCCAAATCCGCAGAGATGCTCTCAGTTGCAGTTAATGTAAATTACAGGTGCTCAGCACCTCTGAAGAACTGTCTCTACCTGTCATTCCTAAAGTACCATCACCATAGCCTAGCATGCAGCCATCAAGTACACAAGACATGCAAAATTTCGTCCACAAAGATAACACACTCCTGCTCTCCGTGATCTCACCACCATTTTTCTAAGGGGAATGTTCTTTCTTGTTTCTTTTCCTGGAAAAAAAGCTGTCAGCCATTCGTTAATCATCATTGCACTAAGGCATATGTAGAAGTGTTTGGCACCGTGTTCTATGACAGGCTTGTCCTGATCTCCAGTTTCACTGAAGACACCATCAGCCATAGTGTGCCCATTGATCTCAGCTCTCAAGCTGGGTTGCACAGAATCTTTGAGATAACTAGGCCCCAGCCCATTGAAATATTTGAAGATTAGCACTAAAACCTTGAAATGGATGTAGAATTGCATAGGGAGCCAGATGGGAGGATCAAGCACCAATGTGATGTGCTCTTGTTGGTCGGACTTATCTAAATGGCTGTTCACTGCATAAGGAACCAGCTGACTTTTCTATGTAGCCTTCATAGTAGTCCAATGCTGAACAAATTGCAGTAGGCAAGTCTTAAAGTGGCACTGGTATTGATCACCTGATAGGAAAGAGTGCAGGCTCCTAGCTTGCTGAAACTGGAAAAAGCCATATTTCTGCTATTTGGGTGTTTTGGAGATCCAATGAGCCCAGAAGGAGCACAAGGCTGTATCTCATCATGGCAATCAGGGCAGACATCTTCCATAAAGGTAAGACCAGAGCTCCTGCTAGTTCCTTGTTTTCCTCATATCAGCATAATTTCTTTCTTATCTGGATTGTATTTAAACTAGCTACTTTTTCACCTCAATATTTATCTTGCTCACACTTCTCTCTCTCCATATATAGTAATCCTGCACTTCTCGTGACCATTCCTTGAACTGCTGTGCTATCAGTGCGTTTTATGAGAAATGATAATGTTCCCATGGTGACTGTCATCTTGGGTGCTGCTGATGTGCAGTTTCATTGCTTGTATAAATGTTTCCACTTTTTGGCACAATTGGAGTCCTAAATGGTAGTTAGACACCAGCATTTATACAACTTTATTTAGGTTTTTTTAAAATATAACTGCCATAGAAGCAGGACTCTGTTTCTGTTTATTTTTCCTCCAGACCCTTCTCCTTTGTTCTTCTAGTTTTGCTTCAGTGTTTTCGGAGGTCTCGTAGTTAAGGCTAAGATTTTGTCATGATTTTTAGTAAAAGTAATGAACAGGTCACGGGCAATAAACAAAAATTCACGAAAGCCGTGACCTGTCTGTGACTTTTGCTGCTGCAACTCATGGTTTCCCCCACCACAGTGGTGGCGGGGAGCTGTGGGGATCCCCCTCTGCCTGCAGCAGCTGGAAGCTGCAAGGGCCCCCCCCTACACCCACAGTGTCTGGGAGCTGCAGGGTGACCATATTTACCAAAGAGAAAACGGGATAACCCAGCTGCTTGCCCCAGGCTCCCGCCCCCCCCCCCCCCCATCTGGGGCTGTTGCACATCTCTGGAAATGTGAGGAGGGCCCCCTCAGAAGTCTATCACCTGTCGCTGGAACTTTGCAGGGGGCCTCCTGTCGCTTGTCGCTGCTGTCACCTGTCGCTGGAACCCTGCCAGGGCTCCACTGGCTGTCAGCTCCAGAGTCTTGCAGCCCCTGTGGCTGAAGCAGAGAATGTCATGGAGGTCTCTGGAAGTCACAGATTCCTGATTCTGTGACTTCCATGACCTCCATGACATAAACCTCCTAATCATAGTTGGTACCACTCTCATCCCAACATTGTTTCAGTTCTTCCCAACCCCATCCACTTCTATTTCCCATCTCTGTCCTCTCCCCATTGGTGCCCTGACTACCTTGATGCTCTCAAGGTTTGAGCCCAGATGGGTTCTGCTCATCATCCAAATGCAGGTGACTGAGAATGTTTTTTTTGGGGAGGGGGAGGGGGGAAATAGTTTGTAGCTGCAAAAAGAACAGGAGTACTTGTGGCACCTTAGAGACTAACAAATTTACTGCCTTCAGCCAGGCAAGTGGAGAAAGGGGGAAGGAAATTATTTCTTTGGAACAGGGACACCCCTTCCTCCACTGCCAGATAGAGAAGAGGAAGGGAGGGAGCCAGACCTTTCCTTTCTTGCCCCAGGCAGGAAGTCTCTCTCTGGCACTGGGGAAAGGGTTGCTAATTTTTGCCTGGCGAGCTGCGGCCAACAGCCGCTGGCTTGCAGCTCATGTCAGGAGAGCTCTGCCTCCCCCGGGGAGACCTGCACAGACTAGGAGGCAGGAGATGGTCACCGCAGCCGCCCAGCCCAGGCCCTTGGGGAGCAAGGGAAGGAGCGGAGGGAGGGAGGGAGGGATGGGGGCGGGGAGTGGTTCCCCTTTGGGGTTGCTGGGAATTTCGGGGCGTGCCCGTGTGGCTCTTAGCTTCTGAAAGTGAAAGTGGCGGTGTTTGGGGCCAGGCGGGCGAAGGAGGAGCGGGGGTTTGGAGGGCGGGGAGGGGAAGCGGCTGGGGGCGGAGATTGCCCCTCCGGAGCTGTTTGTTCCTATTGCTCTGTGTGTGCAGGGGGAGGAGGGTCCTGGCCGGCCGCCTTCCCCCGATCTCGCTGTGCTCTATGTGAGGGGATCGGGGAGCTGATGTGCCTGGGCAGGGGCGGCGGCGGCGGCGCCGCTGCTGGCGGAGGAGAAGGAGGCTAGCGGGGTTGCGGGCTGTCCGGCGGGCCCGGGCCGGGGGGATGCAGCGGAGCGTGGGCCGGGGGGGAGCTGAGCGGAGAAGGAAGGCAGCAGCCGCCGCCGCCGCCCGGAGAGGCCGAGGAGGAGCGGAGCGGAGCAGCCGTGACATGCCTTTCCCTCTGCCACCTCTCCAGCGGCCATGTTAGCCAGGAAAGCCTCGGCGAGCGCGGCTGCGGGAGCTGCCTACCCGGCGGGTAAGGAGAAGGCAGGGCGCAGAGCCCGGGAGCAGCCCGCCCGGCCAGCCGGGACACGCGGCCTTTGCTCGGGAGCCGGGGGAAAGGGCTCAGCCCGCTGCCCTCCCGGCCCCAGCGGCGCGGGGCGGCGGAACAATGATTTGCCCTGGGCCGGGGCACGGGGGGAAGCCAGCCCTGGGCAGTGTTACCTCTTCGCCCAGAGGCTGCCGCTCACCCCCGGAGGGGCGTGGATCCGAGCCCGTCTCGCCGCCCTCCCCGCAGGCTCGGGATCCCCGGGGTGGGGAGGGGGGATCTGGAAGAAGGGAAGCGGCGGAAATCGGATTGGCTGAGTGGGGGGGTTTCTCGGCCAGACGGCGCGGGCGGCGCCCCTCCAGGCTGCGCTGCCCCTTGGCATGTGCCCGGCGGCGGGGTCCATCGCGGCCGCAGGGCTGCGCTTGGCTGACAAGCTCCGAGCACACGCGGGGCCCGATCCCGGTCCTTCCTGCTCCCTCCGCTGTGCCACGTTTGCGGGCCGCTTCCCAGGGCTTTCAGCGTCTGCAGAACAGAGTCTGGCGGCGGCGGGAGGCTTCCCCCCCCCCCAGCCTCCGTGCTGTCAGCCAGGTCCGCCCCACCGGGCTCCTCTCCTCGCTCACCGTCTGCTCTCCCTTCCTCCGCAGGCAGGGGAGGGGAAAGTGGCCGCCAACTGCAGTCTTCCCCGAGCATCGGAGCCGGGGGATCCCGGACGGGAGCTGGGACCGGCCCGCCATCACCCATCGCCTTGCCGCCGCTTAGGTCCAGCAACACCGCCCACACGGTGAGAGCCGGGAATGGTGGGGGCAGGGGGCAGAGGCCTGGCTTGATCTATTTGCAGCGACCCTGTGCAGGCCATAGGACCCTCCCCATCCTCCCCGTGATGCCTGGGGCTCTGCAGCGCCAGAGCATGTTCATTCTCAAAATACAATAACCTCCCACCAGCCGCCCCCCCTTCGTATTAATAGAAATAAATGTGCTAGGTGCAGTCAGGCTGCCAGCCAGCCCGTCTGCCAGAGAGCTGTGAATGAGGCTAGCAAGGACAGAAGCCAGTAGGATCCCTATTAATTATCCTGCCTGTCTCATCATGTCTCATTATTCCCATTACCAGCCTGGTTTCAACAGGTATTCTAATGGGGCTGAGGGTACTTTTTTGAGTCACTTGGAAGTTTGCATGGTTGGGATAGAATCCCTGGCCTCCATGAGTCCTGTGTGAAGGGGTAAGGCTGGGGGAGGTGAGGAGGAGGAGGGTTTACCAGGTTGTTATCTGTAAAATGAATAATGCATAAACACGGCTCATTTCATTTTAAAGGGTCTGGTTCAATGTTGCATGACTGGTTTTGAAGCTGGCACCTTGCATGGATTTGCATGGAAGGCCTGTGCTGGTACATGTGTTCCCATGAAATGACATTGTTTTGAAAATGAGGTTAGTCACTGTCATTAGAGGACGGCCTTTACCTATGGTGGGAAATGAAAGCTGCTCTTTCCTCATTTGTCTGATTAGCTCAGACTGATAGCTCTTTCCCAGGGTAACAACTATTACTGTATTCAGGGGCAGTAAGTGAATGAAAGACTGACACTGCTGCTGCAGCACAGTGTACCTAAAGAAGCATGTGCTGCCTGACCTGAAGGAGATTTTTATTTTTCAGGTCTGTGATATCTCACCTTATCTTCCAGTTCTAGCTAATCCCGTTGGAATGGAAATTCACAAGTGTAGCACTATTTATGGATGCAAGAGGGCATATCTCTCCTTAATGTGTGACTGAGTGGATAGGCAGGTCTATATGATTATATATTCGCACTAAATATCTCATGTTTTTATTGCATAGATTTTAAATGGGTGAAAAATGTATTATTTAAAAAACATTGCTAGAATATTTTGCTTTGAGCTAATGATTACTTTATTGGATGCTCACATGCTATCTTGGTAAACATATGGCAGAGCTTTAAACTGTAATGTGATTATGGGCTGATGGAAGGTGAAACTGCATTTGGATATTACTGTTGCACTGACTTTCTATGCTTTTGTGTTAAAAGCATCGGCCATTTACAATAAGAATAGTCTTTTTTAATGAAATAATACATTTAGGGTGCACTGAAAAAGAATGTGATCATCTACAAATTGTGTCTGCATACGCAAAATCAATATCACTATACACATAAAATACAGTATGTGTCCACAAATACAAATGCCAAATTTTGTTCTGAGTTACACATATGTGAATGAGTTGAAGTGCTGATTGAGTTAAAAAGAATTAGAGGCAGTTTTTAAAATTTCCTTTTAAGAACAGAATATAATATAATAACAAAAAACATAAGTAATGATTGTGAAGACTCATGTGTCCATTCTTGTGGAGCTCCCTGGACTTAATTGGGGCTCTGCATGAGCATATAGTGATCCACTTGCATAGTTCTACTTACAGAGTTGGGACATAGTCTTGACAGTACAGACCCCCAATCTGGTGGGGGTTTTTAATGCACAAGGGTGGCCAAGCACCGGTATTGTTAGCTTTCGGGTCCTTATAACTTCTGATGTTAGAATCTGTGCTTTTGGGATATATGTTCTACCACACACAACATATTTAGCCTTGAATACTGTTTTAGAAATATTGCAGGCTGTCTCTCTGAATTTTGTAGGTTGTTATTTTGTGGTTGGTAGAAGATGCTAACATAACTTTTTATAGTAAGAATCAGATGTGACATTAGAATAGTGGATTGTAACTTTAAAACCCATTTGGATATGTCTGTTAAATGATCATTCTAGGAACTGTAGTCCCAGTGACCTCAGTTAACACTGACTGACTAAAATCCCTTTAATTTTATGTCCCACTGTTTCCTCAAATCCGTCATGTCTAAAATGGAACTTCTCATCTTTCTATCTGAACTGTTCTCCCTCCCTCTATCCGTTTACTTAAATGGCCCCCGTCACAACAGTGTGTGAGTGCCTCCCAAGTAACTAAAAATAAAAATAACAATCTCTCCCTTTTGCCTTCCCAGACTGTAGGAGAAATAGCTTGGCTAGTTTACTGGCTTTGAGTGTGTTGTGTATATGAAGACTTTATCGAAGGAAGAAATGAGTTTTGCATTTAATTCTGAAAGTGAAGAGGTCCATTGTCATTCTTACCTCTTACAGGAGTGAGTTAAGTAGTCTAGGTTCAACTCCTGTCAAAATTCTGTCTCTCACCTTGTTGGTCAACAATTTAATTGTTGCTGTAGTATAGCTTCATGGGGGATCATGGTCAGAGAGTAGAGGTGTGAAGATGAGGACAGAGATTGTGTAATCATGGCAATCTGTGTTGCTAACCAGACAGGCTGCTGTGTATGCACCAGGTAGAGGTGGGTTTTTGTTTTGTTTTGTTTTGTTTTGTTTATAAAGAGTGTGTGGCTTCCTCCTAATTCTTTCCTTCTCCCTTTCCACTGATACTGCCACTGTCTTTCTGGTCAGTCAGGCTCAAAAACATGGGAGCATCACTGATTCCTCTTTGTCCTTCTCTTCTCCAAAATCTGCCCTTTCCTCTCTATTCCTTTCTTTCAAAATCCTTCCTTTCTTGCCTAAACTACTGTAACTTTTTCTCTTCAGTCTCTCATCTCTCCACTGTTGTATCCAATCAACATGCTGCAACAAAGATAATCTTCCTTACCTGCTGCCCGCATCATGTAAATCCCCACCCCTCTGTGAGTCTGTTGGAATTATTATTATTACTATAGAATACTGCCACAATGCCAGTTTCACCATAAATTCCTTTATTAAATCTAACGGCTGAATAGTGGTTCTACAATTGCTCTAAACATGTCTAAAAAGCCTAAATTAAATGCAGTTTAATACATCCATACAATAACAAGCATTTATGAGCATTTGATCATAATACTCACAAAAGGGCTAACCTTAGGGGTGCTTGAACCCATGCTGGTCAGCTCCAACTTGATCAGGCTGCCATTATCAATGAACCCTTAAAGAGTTCACCATTTTATACCCTTTATCAAACAAGTGATGTCATTGTTTCTAACTTAGCTAAAAACCAGGTTTTGGCCAGTTTGGAGTTATTGCTGGTTCAACACACACAATCCTTCCGTATTATTTACTATGCCTCATAGAAGGAAGAAAAGGCCACAATTATCTTATCAGTTACCTTTCAGGTCCAGTTTTTCCAATTAGGCTATATTCTTTGAAGGCCTTCCTATTACTGCCAACAGACTGAACCTTACATGACCTTATATATTCATTTCGAACTAATTCAACCCTTTGTGGCCTACAGGGTCCATCTACCAGCTTCTTACCTCTGCCCTCTGCCCCCATCTACATCTGTGCTTTTATTACCTGTTGCACCCGCTCTTGTACACTCCACTCTGCCAGCTTCTCCTGTATTACTGCAATTCTTCGTCTCCTTCTCCCAGTACCTAGGACTGGATTGACCTTCCTTCTACAATGCATCAAGCAACTTTCTTCTCCTTCTTCATGACTCTCCTCAAATTTCCCTCTTTCTAGTTAGCTTTCCATTACTGAACATCTTCCATCTACGCCCTATTCTTTTGCCTCAACTCATAATCCTAACATTTAACTTAAATCACAGTATAACAGAGGTTCCCAAACTGTGGTCCATGAAGAGCTGATTGGTCACATGCTGCTAATTGTCCTTGCTAAATCTCATTAAGACAGCTGAAAATACATTACTTTCCTACTGTTACTTTTCCATATAATCAGTTACTCTCATTGCCACAATTGCTCATGTTATGTGAATTTGAGTGGAAATGTCTATACAATCATGAATGAGAAGAGAGACATTCGTAAGACAGTCTCTTTATTAAGATGGGTCCATGCTATGAAAATTGTGTGTGCTTTAAATATATCTAATACTGAGTGCAAGCTCTTCAGGGCAGACACTTTGTCTTAGATCTGTAAAACACAGGATAATAATCAAAAGCATTTCAATAATGCTGCTAAATTGGTATAATATTGGCTAATAAGGAGATATTTTTAGAAGTTATGAAGCACAGAAGCACTTGAATCCATCTATCAAAAAAAAAAAGGCATTCATACATATGCGTACTTGTGTTGCAAGCAGCTAAATGAGCACTGAAGTGTGCTACACTTGATACCCATATGTCTCTGGTGTGTTATGAGCAAAAAGGCTGAAAGCCAAGTGCCTTGACCTAACCTAGAGAGAAGAGTATGTTGTGTAACAGTCTTTCTAAAAGTATTTTATTGCTTTTACAAAATGTTTCCCCCACACACACACCTATTTTTGTAACATCAGATTGACAAATCCTGGTTCTACTTGATATCATCTCTACAATCAGAGCCTTTGTCAGCCCATCATATTGCTTGTTTAATATGATTCACTTTATCATTTTGGGGTTCTGATGACAACATAAACTGTTGTTTGGGCTTTGGTGGAATTAATTCATTGTAAATAATTATAGCACAACTATTTCCTTTGCATGGTTTTATAGGGTACAGCGCCTGAGACCAAGTGAGATTAACAACTGAAGATGAAAAATAATTCCCTCTGTGTTGACTACATAGAGCACCACATTGCTACTAGGAAATGCAATTAGCAAGTGAAAATGCCAGGAAGATTTATGGACTACTATGGAGAAGGCTTATACCTGATCCTACAGTGATGGGCCGAATAGAAAATCCTAAAATAGATTTATGTATTGACTGGGTATCGTCCACACATGTATAACTGATTGCTAATCAGTCCCATTTGGTTTTAAACACTGGACGCAATTTATACTATTAAAGTATTTTACAACTAGTGTAGTTGTGGTAGAACAGTTTGT